GCCGGCCCAGCCTTAAACGGTGACAGCTAATTAGATTTATTAATTGGTTCATTACCGGTAACAGTTGTGTTAGTTAACTGAGCGATAAATATAAACAATTTTGGCAGAAAATTATTTCTACCAACTAAATAGTGTCTGCGTAGGCTCAAATCGCATCTTAAAACATTGACATGAAAGAAATGAAGTAGAAGCCACGAACATGACCTGGACGTATAGCACGTACAAATCTGGTATCCTGTCTAGAGTTCAATACTGAACACAACTCACCCAAGGTTCTCTCTTCTATTTGTTCCCAGACTTGCTGAGGCCCCAACATAGTACGGCCAACAAAGCACCTGCTTACCTTACTGAACAGGAATGAGTTTAAGCACAAGTTAACCTCTAATCCGGCACTCGGGTGCCCTGCCAAGTCTTCAACAAACCACAGGACAAGAGAGTATCATCGCCCTGCGCAGGTTTTAAAGACAATACGTCCAGGGGCACTTTTAAATGTGTCTTTGCACACAATGGAAAACTCGCGTGATCCCGGCACGCTGCCGATGCCCGCAAGGCACCGCAGGTACTCCGTCAATCAGCTCTTTGAGGTACAAGCATCCTCACAGTAGAACCACCTAACATACCTCACTTTGCAGAGATTAAAACACAGCTGAACTGGAGATACCTTCACGCTGTCCACCTTACGTAAACACTTTTCCAAAAACTAATGCAAAGCAACATTTAAGGCTTAAAATAGACTCATTAAGACCTCAATTCCTGCTACAAAAGGAAGCTCTGCCTTTATTTAAAAATGAAAACCTGGCAGACAAAGAATTAAATGATAATTTAAATAATTCCAATCTTAAAACGGGTTTCCTTCAGCAGTTTTTAAATTAAGAGTCAGCAAGGAGTTTGAGGGAAAAAAAACCCAAAGATAAACAGATATAAAAGTAGGGGGAATGCATCTGTAACAGTAGTGTTTCTTTGAAAGAAAAGGAATAGATAAAAAGAAACCTCCATCCATGTCTTCCCCCTCCAGAAAGGGGGAAAACAAAACCAAACCTACAGCTCAAAATGTGCTTGGTATCCCTGGAAGAATCCCAGGGTTTCCTGAAGAAATCCATGCCCCTGCTTCCCCCTGCCGGAGCAGGGCCGGGAACTACAGCCGGGCGCTGGGAACGGCACCTGCTCCTCCTCTGTCGCTGAAGGGTTTCCCACTCACAAGGCGTCTGTGATTTAGAGGGTTTAGCAGGGTTTTGCACAAGTGTAACTTTCCAGTGACCCAGTATCAGGCTAGAAAAAAAGCGACATTTCCTTTAGTATTAATCAACCACCGTCAACAATTTGGGGGAGCAGAAGGTGAAATCATTTTACATAAACAAAAAAAATCCCATTTTTCTACCTTGTTCCTTTTACCTACACATACCTACTTCAAATTCATCCCGTATTTCAACAAGCACTGTTTATCTCTCCTAAATCTAATTCATGCTGCTTCCCTCTACTAATTGCGAGTTACGGCACCCCGTACCCATACCCAAGTTGGGTCAGAAGGAGCAGGACCAGTTGTGCTGCATCACCCTCCTGCCCATTCTAGCGAAGTCCTAATTTTTCCTTTTGGAAGTGGCTTCTGCAAGCTGTGAAGGTACTTGGGTGGATGGTCTGGCTGTCCACGTGCCTACTTAGATCTAGAACAAGAGGCTACAGAAAGGAACAGGACAGCAGAAGGACAGAAATAAATCTATTCACACTGAAACGGTACTAGGTGCTTCCGAATTATGCTTGGGCCACTAATGCACACGGGCTGCAGCAGTAAAGCAGATTTTATTTCTAGAAGTTTTTTACTCTTCAGTTAACTAGTCCAGAGTTTCAGAAGAGTTAGGTGTAAAATTGGCTGAATTAATTTCTAAACCCTATCAAAAAGCAAGGCATATACAACAGTGACCCCAAAATGCTGCTTGTTCCCGAAAAGTTTCACCCATCCTGGTAACTGTTATTCAAGAGAGTTAAGTCAATCTTTGAACAATAATTCAAATTGTTATTAAAAAATGGTTATTAATGGGGACATCACACAATAGACCAACCAACAATTCAATAACATAGTAACACAAGTGTGCATCTGCAGTTGGTGCTTTTAATTGTGTGAAGCTCTTAAATACCTCCTCAGCCCCATTTTTCCATCTGTCTTGGAAGGCATAAAATGACGCACAACTATATAGCTGATATCGTTAATGAAGTAGCAGCATGTCTTCTTCACATGATGAAGATTTCCAATACCACTGCTATTCTTTTCCTCACAACTTCTATTAAGTTACCTTGACTAAACAGGAGACCCACGTTTGATGAAATATTAGATTTAGCCTTTGTTAGCTCAATAGAATTAGCCTTGGTTTGCAGAATTCCAGTGTAATCCCAGCTGTCAGCTTCAATCTTTAATAAGAAAATACTTCAGTGTTCAGACCAGGAACATGATTCTTTCTTTTTTTTTTTTTAAATTACTTCAATGCATTCACATCTTGCAAGTATACACCTTGACTTTGAATAGTAAAATTTAGGGATCAGTAGTCAGAGCACTCCCTGTCCCTCCCATGCTCTTATTATCCATTGTATCTCCTAATTATAATTACTTCCCAGCCTTTAACAACCTCAGAAGTTCACTGTGAATTGTTCTGGCAGAACAATGTAAGTTTAGCATTCATTTTGCCTACTTAATAAGGAATAATAAGGAATCTGGTGACTCTTCCTCAAGCATTTCACTCCTCAGTGCAGTATTTGGCTTGAAAGCCTACGGAATGGTGCTTTTTTATTTCTCCACTGTATTTTGCAAATAAAAACTGGAGTTACGAGGCCTCAAGTGTACAAGTCACTTAATATAAACCTAGTCTTCATTATTGAGTTTGAACACCTGATAGTGCTTATGCTTTACAAGAGTTTTTCCTGCACAGTATGCACTTCAGAAGCACTTTGAAAGATACCATAATCTCATTTAGAACATTGTCAAATTTTATTTGCAACTATTGCATTACAAAGAATATAACAATGTAAACTTGCATTTTAAAGTGACAACCCTTTCTAATAAACAAGGTCATCAATTAGTGTGCACCTATTCTGGCTTTGGGCAATTTTCATAGGATGGAAATTTTCCTGCATGACAATTTGTCACGTTTTACAGAAATACATCTGTTCCTACTTGCAGAACACTCATATGTATTTCTGAAATCCAGAAATACAACTTTTAATTCATCACTTTCATTTGTTTTATTGAGAGGAAGAAAAGGAAGAATCCATCCATGCATCCATGGCTTTTGTCAAGTCATACAATACACTAACAGCCCTGATTCTCTCTCTTCCCTGAATTTATTCTCTAATCAGACTTGTTTTTTTTTTTAAAAAAGGAGTAGAGACAGAATCACTGTCTTGTTTACAGCCCTGCAGGAGACTGAGGTAAAAAAAAAAAAACCAACAAATTCAGAGATGCACACTATTACAAATGCAAACAGCCATCAAATTGTCCAGTTTATTGATGGGAATTCAAAATTGATACAAAACATGCCCTCTTTGCATGTTGTATTTTACCCTTAAAATGCTTCCGACAGTGTCAGGTAGATTCAGAGTTCAGAATATACTTCGGCTTTCAGCATGTACCTTTTATAAAGGTATTACAAAAAAGCCACCAACTTATGTAACACATGGTCCCAAAATTGCTTTCAGACATTTTGTTTATCAAAAGACTCAGATCTTCTGCTGATCTGATGAAATAAAGGCTTAAAAATGTTCTAAGCCATTAATAAGCATCCTACTGCAGAGTCACGAAAGTTTATGATTTCCATTATAATCTTGGGCATAAAAAGGCAACAGTCCTAAAAAAGCAGCCCTCCAGAATATATGGAATGTGGCAATGAGCATGATGCTGATTTATAACAATCAAGTTAAGTAAAACAGATTTTTAAAGCTATGAATGATGTCAGCAGTATCACAGCAAATATATTTAATGAATACCACAGAACCAATCAAGTTTGAAAGTTGAGCAGATGTTGTTTCAATCAACAGAGATTTGTAATGTCAAATATACCAAAACGTTTTCTAAAATAAATTCCTAATGCAGAAAAACTGATTTAAAGTTTGCTTCTAGCTAATAGTACCTTTCATTTAAATTGGACCCTAAACTGATCAGACAATACATAGCCCACACTTTCAGACATTTATAATAAAAAAGCTTTTATTTTCAATTGAAACAAATGCACCATCCTGCACTTGAAGGCTATAATGAGCCATAAGCATATTCCAAGGTGTATCAATGGCAACAGATTTGTTTCACCTCCACTGAGAAGTTACATAATGCACTCTTAATTGGTAAAGAAAAATTAAACTCAGCCTTCTCAAAGCTTCTGTACTGTGTTTCTTGGTTATTGTACAGTTCCACCATCAGACCAAGAGTTTGCAGTGTGTGCAATCAATAGTATTGTTTAATCATCATCTTCCTCCTCTTCCTCTTCCTCCTCAAAACTGTCTTCAAAGCCCTCGCTGTCTTCCTGGTCCTCATCACCTTCTATTGCTGTATCCCACTGTGGATGATTTTCTGGCACTGGTTTCGCTTCATGAACTTCCAGCTGTAGTTGGATAAAGAAAAAGAAAGAAAAGATTGGAAAAAGGTTACAGACAACACAGACACAGACCAGTTTGGGAAAACAAAAAAAAAAAAAAAACAAAAAAAAATGACACACCACAAAAAACTGACAGAAAAAAAAAAAAAAAAAAAAAGAGAGAAAAAACCCCAAACAAACCCAACAACTGCTTCCAGAAATACGGCATGCCAGATTTTTCTCATTACCTAGTTTCCCATAACTAAGAGCAGGGAAATGGCATGACAGATCAAGGTATAAAGCCAGAGCCAACCATACTGCAGAAATTGAATAAATGTGAGAAAACATGTATTAAAATATGCAGGCACTGGAAAGCATCACAAACTTTAGTCCCATTTAATCCATCATAAAATTGCCACTACTGGCATCAGGCAGAAACTGCTTATAAATCTCTCCTTGCCACTGTTTTAAAATTAGGACAGCCTGAATTCTTAAAGACAACAGGACTTTTGGGGTTTTAATAGCCCTATGAAGTAGCTTTCAGTATAATACAAATACGTAACACAATTAAACATCACCTTCAATGGTTTAATCTGGTCCAATCCCATATATGAATCTGATCTTAAATAAACTGTGTACTGATAGTTTCCAGGCTTGCCTGGTGCTGGGAACTTCAGCTCTACCTACAAAACAGAATCCACACCGTAAGTTCTTACTGCTTTCAAGTGACACATTAGAACAAGTACCCGAGTACTCTAACGAGCAATAACTGCTACTATAGAATAATGTTTTCTTCTTAAGAAGTTTTAGTTTCTCGCAAGTGACACTTCTTTGAAAATCTCTACATAAGATACCTGCAGAAAAGAGACAGAATATCCAAGCACAATACCTTCTATGAAAGCTGAATAATCATCAAGTCACTTTTTTTTCTGAATTAGACCAAGTAACTCTACATTAAGTACACAATTTCACCCTGTTGTATGCTTCCTAAATCTCAAAAACCTAAAGGGGTTAAAATATTTAGTCTGCTGAAAGTATTAGCTTGACTCTACTGCTATTTGAAATTGAACATAAAACTAGTCTGAAAGAACAAAATACATTAAATCTCCATTTTTCAGAAAAGCAAAGAACACAGCCAAAGGTTACAGTCTCAGAAAGGTTCATATGAGCCGAGGCTAATTAATGTGTTACAGCCTCTGCTTTACAGAAAAAGAACACAGTATTTCTCTCAGATTTTAGTAACTTTAAGAATGATCACTGTGTACAAATACTGGTTTTCATCAGCTTTTGATATCAGGGGAAAAAAATACATTCTGCAAAGAAACTTGAAAGTCGTTTTAAATTACTTTTTCTTTCTCCATTATCAATTTTCAGTTAGAAGGTTGTTCTCTCTTATCAGGAAAGTAAAAGTTGTTTTCCATATTAAGAGATAAGTACAGAAAATTAAAATCTAAGTGTATTTGCATACCATAAGACATTTCGGTACAGTTTTGTAATACCCCAAAAGAAAATTCTTAAAGTACTTTACCTCTTCTTTATCTTTTAGTGTACAAACGTGATATGGCATACATATTAGCATCTGCTCCTTCCGATCTGCAATATATAGCCACCACCATTCTTGTTTTTCCTTTCATAAAAGAAAAAAAAAAACAACAAAAAACCAAACCACAGGATTATTGAAGTCATATAAAATTATGCCCCTACAGTTTATAACACGTAATTATGATTCACTGGTCCTTATAATACAGATAGAAATGAGGTGGTTTGTGTTTGGTGGGTCTTTTTTTTTTAATTTTTGGATGGGTATGAATAAAATATATAGCATACAATGCGCACTGAAAGCAAACAGATTATCACAAGTAACTATTGGTCTCCAAAGGTTTCACTCTGTATATTCAGCCTAAGCTACGATGTGAGACAACAGAACCATTCTGAAGAACTGTGTCCACTGAGGATTAAAGAGCAGCTTCATGCAATATAATAGCACCTGAGGTCCTTCAACAGAAATCCAGCCCAGATAAAAAAAGTCAGCACATAAAGCAAGGCATGCCAAAAGACAGATATAGTACTCATCCCAGTAAACAATCTTTTTCAGGGAAGTATGCTTTGCCCCACTTCTTCTCTCCTCCTCCAAAAAGTGGGAAACTGCTCAAAGTTGGAATTTGGACATACCGAGACTTCACTTCAAGGAGTACGAACCACAGACAATACTGATATTTGTAAAGGGTACCCAACAACTGCTGCCTATCACACACAGCTTTCCAAAATAGCTACAGGTCTCAACGGTCTTGCACGGCAGGCACTAAAGCAGAGTTCCTAAACAAAATGAAATTAAATGAGGGCAGTCCTTCATAAAAGACAGCAAGACTGTACAAAAAAATAATAGTTTATCCCTCAATTGGAGTCAGATTAAGACTGTGGTGCAGTTCAGCAGCACAGACACAACCATTCTCAAATGGGAAAGACTCCAGCTCTTCAACATCAACTGTTCTTCATTTAACCTTTTTGGTTAACCCTCTGGCACATATTTTAGGTAAAATCCACTTTGTTTTAATAGAAGCTGAAACCTTTCTATTGCAAAGAAGTTAGTTTAGTACTGCAAAGCAAGTTTCTGTTCTTAACACCTCCTTAAGTTTTTTCTTGAAAAAAGTGAGAAGTGGCCGGGGTCGGGGAAGACTTCCTCAAATTTATGAAGTATTTTAGTAGACAGGTAATAGTCATAACAGCATCATCTTACCCTTACGGAAAAAAGGGGAAAAACTGCACACCTTTTAGACAACCCAAATGTTAGACTGCTGAATTGTGTTCCAAAACAATTTTTACCCACTCCTGATGGTCTGGTAATTGATCGCGTTTATAACGGACTGGAGCCCTACAAAGAGTACATCTTATGACAGTCACAAGTCACACTCAAAACCAGAAACCCAATTTTTATATATTTACACCAACAAGAATCAGGTAGTTGCCTCAGTGCCACATAAAAGTGGTTGTTTTGTTTCGCTTTTAAGCTACCAGCATTAAGAGGACTGAATGAAAGGATACAGTGGACTTTAACACTACCACTGAGCCTCTTCCAAATTCCACAGGTGGGAAGCAAATGCTGTTAATATGTAGAATTTGCAGAATTTTTGTCTCCACTGAAAGAGTCAAAAGTTCAGTAGCTCTAGTGTGTTGTTTTGTTTTGGGGTTTTTTGTTTGGTTGGTTGGGTTTTTAACACTTCAAAAACCAATGTTTGGTTATCTGAAATTCAAATAAGGTAGGTTGAAAAGTTACAAAAGCTAAATTACCTCCTTTTCTCTTTTGAAGTGACTATTGTTATGCTAGTAATAATTATCACCATCTCACTGAAACATTCAGCTACCAAACTACACATTTACAATGGCAAGACACTCACACCAGCAACCAAAACACCCTGACGAGCACTCTTGAGTCCCAGAGCAGAGGAGTGTCAAATTAACCCAAGATGTTAATGCCCATTTTACAGTGTATGAAAGTAAACACAACTGCATCACAGTAAAGCAACAGTATTCCTTCACATACTTAGGAAAACAGGTACTGAGAAGTGGACAAAAACCTATTCATATACTATTTAAGACCAGAATTTGCAGAATTATAAGAAGACCTTTTTACAGCTATACCAAGTGATTTTCTTTATGAAAAACTGTCCCATGTGATTACAAGGCATAAGTTATTTCATCTGTAAGTTTCAACAATAAATACATTGTCAATCTGCTTGACAGCTGCAGCAAAGACAACTCTTACGCAGTCAAAGTGTTTATTTCCTAGCCAAGGGGCCTCTAGGAACAGAAGAATAAACAGAATTAATAGTACAGATGGACAAGAACTACACAAGCTAGATCCATTACAGAAATGGCTACTTGCCATTTTGAGCCTGTAAGGACTCTGACCATAGGAAAAAGGATCTGCAGTTTATCAGTACTTTATTTTTGATGTTACCAAAACACTGTGCTGACTTACTAGACATTGTGTGTGTTTCCATCACTCTCAATGGCAAGGAATATGTTTTTTTAGAACAAAGATCAAAACTGTCAACTGGATTTTCACAAAAACTGGTAACAGTAATAGCCAAGGGCGTAAAGAAATATCAGAACAAATGACATTCATTGATCTAATGCTCAAAGGAATCTACAGAGTAAACTCGTTGGAAGTAAAGCTCCTGACCCCAAAGTGCCACTGCTTTTTTATAGAAAGGACAACTGTGCAGGAGTGCCATTCTCCTCTCTCTTATTGGGTGGAATTTAAAATTTATGCCTGTGAGAATCTGGCAAGCTAACAGGCAAGTGGGCAAAATGCCCTTTAACAGATGGGTGCAAGGTTTGGCATGCCAAGGAACCAGTATGTTCATGAAATTGGAACACCAGGGCCAGTTTCTACCTAAAAATGTCAAAACTACAATCTGTCAGTTTCTGGATCCATGGATGCAGGAGCAGAAGATAATTATTTACGAACCTGCATAGATTAAAGATGCATCTCTGGCTGAGCAATCAACTGCCCCAAAACTTAGATGAAACAGTGTTACGGTTACCTCCTGAGAACAAATATATTAGGCTCAGATACACTCAAACATCCATAAATTCTAGAAATACAGAGATTCACACAACTAAAGCATTTTATCCTTAACTCTGAACTGGCCATGATTGTAATACTGTAAATCACAAGATAAAAAAACACCCAGAGAGTACAATGGATTTTGTTCTTCAGACGTTGCAAATCAACTCTATCTGAACATGCTCCAACTACAGCTACTGCACCAAGTACAGCTGCATTCAACTTTCAGGAAATCAGTGAAGAGAGGCTGGAAAACTTACAACTGCAGTACCATGAGAGCATACGTGTGTATCTTCCAAGTTTAAGCATTCAGTTCAGCCCTAGGGTTTTTTTGTAGCATAGTGCTGTATTTAAGTTTTATCATAAAACCCATCAGCAGCTTGGTTACACAGAGCTGATGCTTAAGCAGCTTTGTACAGAGTAAGAATAAGCAAAGTCTCCAAAGGAACCCTGAGAGCGGGGGGGGCGGTGGGAATAAAACAAACCCAAAAAAACCCCGAGTAGTTAGAGCCCCTGTGCCACTGGGCATAGCACATACTGTTCGAACTTGAGACTGATGACCAAAGCCAGTTGCCTTCGCAACAAGGAGATATTAAGACTCTGCTGCATATCTGACATGATCTAAGGCAGTCAGAAGAACAAAATGCCAGTACACCTTTTTCTGTTATGCTAGTCTACTGCTGGAAGCTGTACTGAGAGATGGGAGGGTACCTAACAGTGTCAGGAAAATACAGCATTAAGATCAGCCATTACAAAACCAGATGTCGTGAGGCCACACAACTCACAGCTAAGGTCTTCAGGAAAATAATTTCTTTGGTTTATTTGTATATCTTGTCTGGCTCCTTAGCAACAGTCTTGCTTCCCACACTTTGCTTCCTAATGATGGCAGAACTAGGTAAAACCAGCAGGAACAGTATGATCACAAGCATGGGGACGACGAGTGTGTTTTGTGCACACAACAAGTTGTACAGGGTAAAACATAAAAGCCTTGGGGACTGAAAAGTGGGAGTAAATATACACAGTGTCTTCCTTTTTTCTCATGTTTTCCTGTTCTCTCCCATCTCAGTTGTCTCCTTTAAACACAAGAGGAAGCCTAAGCTTTGCATCCCACCTCCCCGTTACTGGAGATAGTGCAACAAGAGAGAAGAGATCCTAGATGAGTTCCCTAGTCAGACAGCAGGGAAGCAAAGGAAACCCTCTGAACCACTGGCCTGGAGAGAAAGTGTGGCCAAATCCTCCTTCCTGCTGGTTCCAATCTGGTTGCCTCCCAAAGACCTAACTTCTCAGAACACAAAAGTCACACTTTGAAAAATCCCATCTTTTTCAAGGTTTCGTTGCCACAACAAGTTTTCAGACACCTATTGAGTGGTTAGCTGTTTGTGTAAGTAACAACTGATATATTGGAACATACTTTCAACACCAAAGGCTGCTGTAGAGACACACCAGTCTATCTACTATATTGAGTCACCGCTCTCAAACACGTCCCTTTCTCTGATACAAGATCAGGTGTGGATGGGTATTTTTGAGCTCTATAGGAAAGATTGTTCCACAATTGGTTTCCACCATTTCCAAACTACACTGTGGTAGAAAGAGACAGCTTTGCCAACCCTCTCCATCTTCCACCACTGCACGCTCTGTTGCCACCACACAGTTGCATTGAGACTTGAAGTCAAGCAGCAAGTCAAAACAATCTGTTGATCCAAATGACCCCAAACTCTCCCGTCATTCCTGTTAACACAGGAGGGGTCAGGATCTCCCCTGCTCACAGACGCTTGCAGTTAGGTAAAGAGCAAGTAATACTTCACCCTTAAATCTGTATCAGAGCCACTGCTGTGCTGTCACTTTCCCTAGCAGAAAAAAAAAATAGAAGGACTATAAATTAGATCCCTATATATTCAAAAGGTTTCATTCTGAATCCATCTGTGTATAGCCGATCAGTAGAAAAAACCCAGAAACTTTAGCGTTATTGACATCAAAAAGGAACCCTGAATTCTATACAACTTTGCAAGTCTATGGGAAGTGGATAGAAAGAATAATACATGAAAAGTTTTTAGGACAGTATCTGAAGGAGTTTAAGAGGATTTTATAAATTAAGACTTCTTTTCAATGAAGATTAGCAATTTTTTCAAGTATTAGACTTTTAAAAAAGCCCAGTATTTACAGCACAAATATAAAAAGAGCAATTAATTTGTACTATATTAATTCTAATGTTTCACAACTGTAATGTTTTCTGTTACTGACCTCAGGAAAAAAAAGACTGTAAACGGGATGGGTTATCTTTGACTTCGTTTCAAGAAGGGCTCGTTCCTTTCTCTGTATACTTTGCTGTAATTCTTGCCACTCCTGTCAAAGACAAGTTGAAACAGTTACTGTGCACTAGCCATCTTTTGCATTAAAAAATAAATTTTAGCCCATGGAAATTATGTATATGACAAGTTCTTGTGCTACATTACACATTATAAAAGGGAAAGGCACGTAGAGATGAAGTTATGCAGTATAATTAAAAGAAAAAACATAAATCATGCAACAGTAAAACTAAAGAGACCAGTCATTTAAATATTAAAAAAAAATCCAAAACCCAAACACAGATCTGCTAGGCTTGCACAAATTCTTCAAAACTCACTTCTACAGCACTGCCTCTAAACACCACCTGAGCTGTAAGAGTCCCAATTACAAGCTTGATGACTCTTTTCCCCATGAGCCGCTTATTCTCACCCTGTACAGGACTTCCAGCTGTCACTCTCAAGTCTTCCACCGTAAGACCTGTGGTGCAGAAATCATCTACCACCACAATACCTCATTCTTAATTACACTTACAGTTTCAAACAACTAACTTAATAATTAACAGTTACTAGAGTTTCATAAGCACATGTACAAGTTTGTTCCAACTACTGCATGCTTATCGTATGCATTATGCAACAGCCACTGCATGTAAAGAACAAAGCTCAAAGGAGAGCCTTTACCTCACAAAACCTGCAGCAGCTAGTAATCAAATTAAGCTGAAAGAAACATTACAGTCTTTCCTTGAAGTTAAGCTATTTTTTTCATGTTATTTTAAAGTTTTCTCTCCATGCTGCAAAGACCCTTCACTCCTCTCTCTGAAACAGACTTGGAATGACAAAGTTCTTATGCGGGAATGAGGTCTGAAAACCTCTGGAGAACTGATATTACTCCTTCATCCTAGTGCTGCCTAGCCTGAGGGGATGCTAGAGGATTAAAATGCATTTTCTCTCAACCCCAGAGGCAACATTACAAAGTAAAGCTTACAGCTTCATCATCTTTGTTTTGCTTCTCATCTTGCTCTCTGTCAGAGTCTCTGTCGCTTCCATCATCTTTTTCACTTTGAGAGTCCCTGTTTGTTTCTTCTTCTTCAGATTCACTTCCTTTATCAGAGACCTCCTCCTCTTCTTCCTTCGCAACTACTTCCTAATGGGAAAGAAAAAAAAAAAAAAACAAACACCTCTTAGTTTGTCTGCATTATTGTAGTATGCAGCATTCACAGCATCTGTCTTAAGGTCACAGACCTAATTTCCTATTTTGATCTACACTCTTCTTGTGCCAGAGTATGTCTACAGTGAAGATTAATCCTTTTCACCTCATGTGCTAAAAGCAGCAGGGAAGCAATTATCCTTCTCCATATGGCACCCACAACACAAATAGAAGAAAACAGTATTTGATTCTAGGGTCGCATTTCAAAAAGTCTTAAGAAAATTAGAGAGAATATAAGAAAGTACCTATAACACAGCCCATAAGGTGGAGAAAACACCATGCAGTGGGAGCACAAAGGTACTAAAGCTACTTAATTTACCAAAAGAATTCAGTTTTTTCCTTTAAAAAAAGTAGAAGGAAAAGTAGAAAGGTACTTTAGGAAAAGTAGAAGGTACAGAACAATTCACCTCCCAGAAGGCAGCATAACAAGAACTAATAAGAAGGGACTATGAAGCCAGACTTGTAAAGTAGTTGGGGCACAACTTTCAGCAGGTCACTAGAAACATTACTGTGGTGGTTCCCTGATTATTTTACCAGTAATTTTTAAATGTAAAGAAAAAAAAGCTATTTTAGGACATATGCTTCACAAAAGCATAGAATGAAATGTAACAGACAGATACTGAAAACCCAACAGATTAGGAGCGATAAGCTGAACGAAATATTAAAACATCAACGAATCTATGAGCTACCCCATTAGCTTGTTTTTGCTTCTGCTGTTTTGGTGGCTGCAATGAAGGCGGCACAGGTTTCTTTTTCAACGGCTTCTTTTTCTTTGATTTTGAAGCTTTCTTGGTTCCTTTATTCTTTTGCTGCCATCCTTTGCTCTTAACTTTGTTGACATCTCCTTGCTGTAGGAAAGCAGTATTTAAAATATTTATGCTGTTCAGTAAATTTCAGGCATTCACTGTACTTTAAGCATTTTAAGCTGAGAACCAAAGTTAGAAAGCATAGCTCAAGAGACACTTCGGCAGGCATTTCTGAAAAAAAGATGCTTGAGAAGCGCACAATTAGCAACTCAAGATCTGAAAGAAAGTTCTCTTCAGTTAGCAAGAGAAACATTCATTCTTCACTTACCCCATCCTCTGTTGGTTGCTCTTCTGCTGCGCATATAGACTGTTCCTTTTCAAACACTTCCTGGTTACAGAAAGATGTGAAGACTATTAATACCTCTCTGTACCAAAAGTGCAAACTATTATTTTATATTTAAACTAAATCATCTTAATCGGGTCTAAAGGTTTTGCTCATTATGGCAAATTCTTCTATCAGTGACAAACACAACAGGGGATTAACTGATCAAAATTAAACACTATTTCAAACATTTGGTCTAGGATTTTTCCCTCACTAGCACTATAAAGAAATTTAGTAACAACACGTCATCTTGTTCCAAAGAATCTACTTGTTTTATAAAGCACAGAAATCCTGTATCACAAAAGCAAGCAGTAGTAAAATGCAAATTCTGCTCCAGCTGCCAGAGCATTAAAAACTTCAACAGCTGCACCGCTACTCCAGGACACAGGAGAACAAATCAAGCCAGAAATATGAAACACAATGTTAGTATTATGTAGACTAGAACATCTCTATGCAAATGAAATTTTTTCATGCATTCCTTTCTTCAAGACATGCTATACGCCATTTTAAAAAAAAAATAAATAAATCAGTCATAAGCAGCTGTCTTGTATAAACATGGCAAATATGGGATACTACCACAAAAAAACCCATCATGTAAAAGGTTAGCTCTAGTTTTTAGGTCATGTACCTCAATGCCAGCCTGCCTAGTGGAGTTCAAATAGAAAGCATCTTAAACGAGTTTTCTATATGCTGTCAGATGTTTTAATTTCTAAGTACAGTTCAATATGCTTACGGTTTTCAGTTTCCTTCATTTTTAAGATCCAGCAGAGTGATCCGGTGTTTTTACTTTCTACCTACTGCATTCCTCAGTTATCATTGGGATGATATGGATATGGCAATGCCATAGCATGAACACATGGTACTTTATATAAACAGACGCCTTTCTGCTGAACTGGCTTCAATGGCTAGTCTGATCCTCAGCTGTGATAGTCGTGCTTGTACACCTTACCTCAGAGGCATAACTCAGACTTTTACTTAGACAATTATCCAAACAGTACAGATGCAAAAATAGACGCTGTAGGCTTTGTTAGGTAAAAGTTTGTTTAGGTTCTGTGCGTTAATTTTTTTTGTTCAAAGAAAGTCATTACTGCATTTTAAGCTAAAAAATAAGCACAAGTCAGAAGTTTAACGACTAAGGTATGGTATTATTTTGGTTATGCCGCATTGCTACCCATTCAGCAGTACACTTTCTTCATGTGCCACTGGTGTATCTCCTTAATATTAAGTTACATATATTCTGCTTTCTGCTGGATGGAGTTTCTTTCATAGAAGCATCTAAAACACCCAAGAGATTTGCAACATTATGAGCCCACATAAACCGAAATCAAACACTGTCCTAAGGACTTGAGTGAATACTTTATTCCAGTTCAAGAACTAAGTTTCTGAATGTCTCTTTTCCTGTTATTTACAATCCTCAGGGCAGTATCACTTGCCATATTCTTTTACTGTTCCCTAGACAACTGCAATGGGTCAGACTGAACTTTGGTTTGACTCCAGGAAAACTTTCTCGTTCAGAAACAAAAACATAAGGAAGGATCAAGAGCACAAGTTCTCAATTTCAAATCTTAATTTTACAGTTATATTTACAAAACATTACATTAGCTTGCAAAGAAGAAATGCCCATTTATTAGCATATACTTGCAGTTACCCTGAAAGAACAAGTATTCTTAATACTTACTGCCATGGTCTGTCTTGTTAGTGTGACCAGAACAGTGACAAGAGAACCTACTGTAATATTGTTGCTGTCTTCATCATCCAAAACTAGTGTAAAAGGAAAAGCAACACATGTATTAAACTTCTTTAGAGCCTTTTTTTTTTGCCATTAAACATTGTTTCTGCTATGTCTAAATAAAAGCATACAAATTCCAGAATTTTTAACAAAAATAATTTTAAAATATTATTTAATAAAGTCTCTTATAACCTCAAATATACTGTCAGGATGAGGGCTGGTAATTCAGCAAACCATAAAACAGCAACATTGAGTTTGAAATTTTAATTGCATCAAAGTTAGAAAAGTCAAAGTTATAGCTCCCGTGGGAACCATAACTCTCTAATATTGTGCATTATATATTAAAGCATAAAACTTCAGAAACATGAAATACCACATATAACCAAAGGGACCCTGTTATATTTGTTCTGGGAATCATAACTTTGATATTCCTGACTTTCATATGATTAGCAACTCAATTTCAATGCCACATTAACAATCATGCATTTAATTCTTTAATTAGAAGACAAAGGAAAATAAAAGAACAGCAATGATTATTTTAACTAAAACATCAAACATAAAACCCATAGGAAAGCCACTGAGGAGTTTATATCTCCAATCTATGAACTGGAGAATGTCCCAGGTTGGGGAAGAATAGTTATATTGCAGTGTAAGTTATATCCCAGTGTAGAAATTTTATCCCCCCCAACCCCGTCCCCCGGGAAAGGAGTTTTACTATTCACCAGTTTTAGATATAGATTGTATATACTGGTAATACTGAGCTAAACAGAAAAGCATATGCATTGTTTAATCCTCCATACCATGCCTGAGTACAGTTGTGCTACAAACAAAGACTACAGGCAGAAAAGGGTTGCTTGCCAAAATATGGGAAGGTACTCCAAGACTGAATTTTAAGCAGATTAACAGAACTGTGTACAATCCTGTGCTACAGTAAGTCTTTTGTTTGTTTGTTTTAAAAAACACACATAAACAACATTTAGAAATACCAAGATCAGCAGGCATTTGCTTCCTTAATGAATATTTCCATTAACATTTGCTTCTCGCAGAGGGCTATGCATAAGCCAAATTAGAAATTAGGCTACCCAAACATAACATAGCACATTTTGAATTTGATCATTGCAATCACAGTAACAATATAAATTAGAAAAAAGCATTCGAACCTGCCAAATACCTCACATTTACTAGCACTGATCTTCTACAAAGGAAGGGAGACCACAGAACCAATTCACTTTCCACCGAAAGGCTGCCTAACAGAAACTGCTTAACAATATTAACTAATGTTCAGAGAGGAAAAGCATTATACATTCATCGGAACAGTGCACACAAAAGGTAGGTAAGCATAGCATGGACAAATTCCACCAGATAGAAAACTATACAAGGATTATCAAAGGAACCCATGAACATCTAAGTCACCAGGGTCTCCAACTCAAAATCTCACAAAGGACTCTCCATGCTGGACTAAGCTGAGCATAAATTCTGGAATAAGCACAACTTTTTAAGATAGCTAATAAGAGTGGTACTTCAACCAGAATTCCACATTGCTCATGAAATATTAAATCAACAGATGAAATATCAGATAAGCTTCTACAGGAGAAACTACTACTCGCTTGGGAACCTGTGAAATGTTTCAATGTACTTTACCTCCTCAGACTATAAATCTCATTTGCAAGAGCCCGCCACTCAAAAAAGTATGTCATTTCCAGGCCACATAAATAACAGTGAGTTGTGTTTCAGCGTCCTCCAAAAACTTACTGCCAACAGACTATGAAAATGTCAGAAAAACGACATATACAGAACAAAAGGACCTCCCACTCACCCTGTGGTTTTATATCCATGGTGACATAAGGAAAGCTGCCAAGGACAGCCATAACTTCATCATATTTCTTATCTTCTAGGAAGTGCAGTAAATTGCGACGATCAGAACCTTTCAAACTCACCAAATCCTGAATACTTTTGATTTTATACTGAATTAAAAAGAAAAGAAAAAACAGAAGTCACATGTTAGCAGAGAACACAGTCTACAAATAAACTCTTGATAATACATCACTTGTGTCCCCACATTACTAATACATATACAACATTTGATTTGTTCTTATAGAAAAAACATGCTTTAGGAAACTAGCAGGCATGTGTTTTGAGAAACAATAAACCAGAGGTTGCATTCAAACCTACTAAACAGCACTGCTTTGAACACTGGCGTGTTCCTTAGTATGTCACCCCTTAGAAACCAGATACATTTCTTACGAAACTAATATTTCAGCTAGCTTCTTCAAAAAGCTGAGCCAAGAAATCCTACAGATTGGGTTCTTTATTTAGATAGAGTGCTTCAGTGCTTTGAGATTTATATTAGCAGGAACAACTAAGTTGGTTTTTTTGTGTCATACTGAACTGCAAACAAATCTAAAACCACTCCTTTTAAGATTTGCAGACAAGAGCTAGAAGGATAAAACACACAGATTTGTTTGAACACTTGACTATTTCATCATTATAAACATACATATTTTATTAAAAACAACTTCATACACCCAGGTAAACTGATCATATCTCCAATCTAGGGGACTGTATTTTTAAAGAGCTCAATGCATGGGAATCCTGTACAAACAAGCCTAATAAACCGGTCTCTTCCCTCTTTCAGGGGAAGGACAGGTGGGATTAAGATAGTCAAATTCTTGATTTTTGTACTTAGTTAAACCACACAGGTCAAAAAATAAATCTAAAATTGTGTACTTTTTTGTATACTCCCTGTAGCTTAGGGCTGGATTAAGAAAAGTGTTTGATGATACATACAAGAGGATGTTTCTTTTACTTCACCCAAAGGAACAGACTACTTGACTATTTGACAAACAAGCATCTTAAAAGGGGATGAAAAAAATGCAATATTTAAAAATTCTTTATCTTCACACTGACACAGAAGCATTTAAACACCCCCTAAGGCTGTAGTTAAAGCTAAACAAAATTTTCATTAGATAAAAAAAGTAATTTTAAGATTGATCCAAATTAACCATTGTAGTAAGACTATCAGAAAAGTCAACAGCTTCTACTAGAAGATAACTGCTTGTTTCTAACCAGGCATTCCTAAAAGATAGACTACACTCAAAAAAAACAAGCAGGTTTGAATAATGAGACAGTCAGGGAAACAGAGTGAAGATATGTATGCAGGTATTCAGACAAGACTATTCTTTTTTTGTCCTTTAAATTCTACAAATGCCAACATTTATCCAACTACAACTACACAGCAAGAGCTTTATAAAGCATCCTCTTTCATAGATAAAGGATCAAAAAACCTGAAATCCTTCCCACAGTAATTGATAATTTTTTTTGCTTTCATGAACTCTTCTGTGCTACCTTCCAAATGTTTTTTCTATCAATCTAGATTAAGAATGATGTAAAGCCAAACAAGCCAAAAAGAAAAAAAAAGTCCCAGTAGGATATTCCAGCCACATTCTGGAAAAATATTAAATAGGAGATAGTACTCTGTAACAAGAAACAAACTGTTTGTCCTGTTTGTGAAGTCAACATAGACCGATCTTTTACACCTATCAGACCTCTGATCTTAATTTCCATCTCATAACTGAGATGGACTTTAAAGAAACTAAAAGCACACAGATCATCTAAGTAGTATTGTACTGAATTCCTGAAAACTATATTTTTATTCTCTTATAGTTAATTCATGACCTTGCTTCTTCATAAGAAATTGGTAAAAGTAGTAACAGAAAGTGTTTTAAGAAGTTACCAAATATCATTTGTATTTTTATACCTTTTTATGATTGGAGACTCGCCTAAGATTGTCCTCTTCAATGTGAGGCAGCTGCAAAAGGGGAGACTTGAACTGCTGAAGTCCCTGGACAGTCATCTGGGAAAGCTTCATGCAGTTTTCCAAAGAACCCAAAGATGGAGCACGGAACTCCCTTTCTTGGGGAAAATGAAACAGATGACATCATTTTAATTTTTTTTTTTCTTCTTACACTTTTACAATTTATACTTGTATTATAGACTTCAGAAAATCTTGCTTTCAGTCAACCAAGTAAGAGAAAGAGGCATCTTAAAATGTTCAGCATAATTAACCAGGCAGCCTTTTTACTCTCACTGCAGACACACAGCTCAGCAGACATTTTCTTCCCTCTATTTAGGCTGTCACAGCTAAACACGAAGATAGGCAAAGACTTCTACCTAATATTGACTCAGGGAACAACAGCACAATATATCTACGCAATTACTGTAGACAAAAACTCCACCACTTAAGTTTCAAAAAAAAAAAAAAGCAGCATCAAAATCAACTTGGCTTAAATTTGTATATTTTATATATGTGTGCGTGTATAACACGTTTAACTCTACTTTGTAAGCGTCTCATTAAATATAGTTTATCGTTAAACTTTTGACATAATACATTATTTATAAGATTTTCATCTTGAGATGAACATAAAGGTAGTAGCCTATTACATGCAAGAAAAAACTGTGGGTGTAACTGAGGCTAAGCAGAGCGTATTATATTCTGTTAGAAGGCAGTAAGAATAGCTGTAAAAATACCAAAAGGCATGGCTTTTGTAAGTAAACCTAGAGGTTAAAAGGAGTGTCTGAGCAAACACCTATTTGACTTTTCTTTTCAAAATTACCTAGAATTCCTTTAATGTTTTAAAGTACAAAAGGTATACACTCTACATAATTAAAATTACTTTAAGACAGACAAGGAGAAAGTCATAACCACAACAGAGCAAAAGAGGGGGAAAAAAAGTACATTTAACACTCTTCATCACGTCTGCAAAGAAATGAAAATGCCAAGCAGACAGGTTTCCACATACTGCTTTTTAACTTTGTTAGATATCCATCCATTCACAAATAAGACTTCTCAAAACCCTGTTTAGGAAACTCATTTCAGAATTCCCTGGCAGCTCAAGAGCTGCTGCCAGTCCAGAATTGGCAATGTTCAGGTTGCTCTGTATATACTTCAGTGTGAAACAGAAAAATAAGTTAGATCCTCTTCAGAGAGCCAAGAGGAATTTAAGCTACTTAAATTTTTTTCTGAACTCGTATGTGGCATATGTAAGAACTGAAAGCAATTTTAAACATGTATTACAGAAGGCACCTGTAATTCATGATGCCTGTCATTTTATTTAAGTATCAGTGTATGTCTTTTCCTATACTTTAAAACTTTTTTGAGAAACAATCAACTTTTGATCATCTTGACCGTTACATGTATATTCTACATATAAACGTATAAAAGTAAGTATGAATATAAATATCTGCATGTGTACATACACAAATATATACATATACAAATATGTGTATCTGGTATGGACATATCTGGGTGGTATATTTGGAACACTACAACAACGGCATAGAGGCATCTTTCACGAAATTGAATAGAGAGATGGTCAGAAGGAATACGTCCACTCTGCTAGGGCTGTGTGATGGAGCTTACCACACTCTCAAAGCAGTTAGAGATGTAGATAAAAGCAGGTTTACTTACACCTGGGTGAGAAGGCAAACAGACTATAACCTGCACCTGACCAAAAGAGTACCAAAGCCAAAACTGCTGAATGTTTATTTTAAGTGCCAACGGCCATATATTTTGATAAAAAAGCAAGTTTACATTATGTTTTCTCCTTCCTTTACACCACTACCCTACTGCAAATTTATAAGCAGCTACTAAGGTACATTAAACACACATGAAACATCACTCCATCACCTCTGCTCCACCTGCACCTCTCCCTTCAAATGGCCTGTTTCTTCATTAATTACACCAAGCTATAAATATAATCAGCTATCAAATCAAATTACATGGCAGGACTTTTTTTTTTTAACCCAGTATATTCATAAATACTGTGAAGATTATACGCAATGCAAAGAGAAAAATAACACATGAATGGAACTACCCGGCTACAGATACTGGTAAATAACAAAGATGTAACTTCTACCTTTCAAAGGAAAAAAAAAAAAAAAGTGTAATGGAAAGGCTAATCTCCCAACTAAATAGTACAAAATTTACTTTCCATCGTACCTATCTTCCACTTCCCCTGTAATTTTTTTGGCTGCTGCTAAGGGAAGTCACAGTATTTTTTTTAAACTAAAAAAACCCCACAATGCAAACCAAGTTAATAAAAGAATCCTAAACATTCTCTGGCAAATGCTTTTGCAGGAAATTCACCTAGAGCTTTGAGACCACAGAGTCAGAGTAGAAATTCTTCCCTTTCTTAAAACATTGACTCATCATCCATATGACAGTAGAAAAATATTCTAACAAAGTTGAAGAATACTATTTTGGTTTCCTGAAAGTAACACAAAACTTTATATTCCCCAAGAGTGGATTTGAGGATAGTATAGATTTTAACACCACCCAATGGCCCCCATCATAAAATGAATGCCATTACTGCACATCCAAAACATATGACATTAAAGCAGTCAATCACAAATTTAAATGCAAATCATAGTTGCTTGTGAAGGAAGGGTATACACCTGGGTCAAACCACAACCTCTCCGTTACACTGTGGTCTCCAATCTGAATTAAGAAATGCACAGCTGAATTAATGCCTAACCCTTCTGCAGACAGTTACTACAGCACATCCCACGGTTTTGGCAACAAACACCTCACCCGGCAGGGCAGCTATCTACTTACGATACTTCAGGATGATCTCAAAGAAGTCATTGAGATAATTTAGACCTGCTGATTATCAACTACCAGTTAATCATCACAAAACAACAGATGCAAGCAAGGGATGCCACAGAGCAATGCCTATTTTCAGGGATGTAAAAAGAAAGTCTCATAGACTATGCAGAAATCAGACAAGAGAGTACAAGGTGTTTCATTGAACGGTAGTTCACAATTGCCATATTTTCCACCAGGCTGGAAAAAAGCTTAGCAGTAACTAAAAACTGACTGGACTGAAGTGAAAGTAGTATCAATTTTGCTTTTATGACAGCAAATTAAAACTGTTCCTTGCAAATAACAAATCCAAATAATAATAAATCCAAACTCATCTGCAGAGAGTGACAGCTCTATTAAAAATTAAGAAATAACCATGATTAAATGATTTTTATACCAAACCTACACTCATTCTTTCACAATAGATTGTTTCAAGTGGGTTTTGGTACAGAAGCCAGTGTCCATGGCTTTTACGGGGACGCATAAACAGCCTGAGGCACCACTTTTTCCTACCTGGGAAGGCAGGATATGTGCTTGTCCCTGTGAAGGGCTCCACCAGCCGAACTTCATCAATCTCATTTTGTGATATGCTGTTCTTAGTGCTTCTCAGTCCTTGCATCTCCTTCAAGAACAGCTGGTACTCGACTAGTAGTCGATTGCTATATGGACATTTTTAAAACTAACTAGAAAAACTAAGTAGCAAGAATCTGAAGATTTATCCAAGGTGCTTTTCTTCAAAAGACTTGATTAACGAGGTACATGTAAATGGTCAGAGATATTTTTTAAGCTAATAATAATGATAATTCAGGATACTCGAAAGACATAAATGAATGCAGCACAAAATGAGACTCCTCATCCCACCATCAATTTAGGTCTCACAAAATAAGATTTGTCCCCAAAATATTTCTTTAGATAATATTAACGCATGCCATTATCTTTGTATTTTCACAGATCAGGACTGCTGAACATCTGTGGCTAATTATAGCATGCGATAACTTTAGAATCATAGAATCACTTAGGTTGGAAAGGACCTTTAAGATAACAGTTCAACCATAAACCTAGCATGGCCAAGCCCACCACTAAACCATATCCCTAAGCACCACATCTATATCTCTTTTAAACACCTCCAGGGATGGCGACT